CCTGTTTTCGGATTACAGCACTTACCACGAGCAGATTGACCACTGCCATAAACACCATGTAATAAATAACGAGACTAGAAAGATCGCGTTTTCTTCTGGAAAGGATAACAATAACTGTCAGGTGAGCTGTCATACAAACATACATACACATATCTAGAAAGCAGAGAACAAAGAAAGTGAGACTTATAAATTATGAAAATTGTTCCACAGGATTGTTCATCAATTTGGTACATTTGAGACGTGAACATGAGTTAGAAATTATCGATTAACGTCCTGACAGTTATTTCTACGTGCGAAGTGTTGATCTTAGGGGGAACCATTGGCACAGTGGCAAGTACTGCTGCTTCATATGATCAGGGACCCAAGTTTGATTCCAGCCTTGGCTGACTGTCTGTATCGAGTTCGTACATTCTCACTGTGTATGTGTGTGGGTTTCTTCTGGATGGTCCGGTTTCCTCCCAGAGGTCAGATTGATTGGCCATGCTAAACTGTCCGGTATTGTCCAGGGATGTTTAGGCTAGGCTGGTTAACTATGATGAATGTGGAGTTATGGGAATAGGGCACGTGGTTCTTCAGAGGATCAAAACACACTCAATGGCTCGAATGACCTCTACTGCACTATAGGGTATAAGAATACAAATTAATACAATGACAAACAACAGAGAGCAAAATTCATTGAAAACTACACCAACAACCCGAAATAAAGGAGAGCAAGGTATGATAGTGGTCGTATTGACAAAATGCTATGGCAATATATTCTTGCTGAGAAATAGGGAAATAATCCAAATGAAATCTGGAAACTTAAAAGAAAACGAATCATATATTTTTGAGGATCCAAAGTTGCCTCATCTGACAAAGAACTTTAAATTTTTTTGCTACTAGAAAGACATCACAGAATCCCGAACGTGTGGAAACAGGCCTTTCGACTCCCACCGACCTTTGGAGCATCCCATCCAGAACCATCCCCCTAAATACTATGGGCAATTTAGCGTGGCCAATCCACCTAGCCTACACATCTTTAGGCTGTGGGATGAAACCGGAGCGCCCAGAAGAAACCCACGCGGACACGGGGAGAATGCATAAACGCCACACAGACAGTCACCCGAGGCTCGAATCGAACCCGTCATCGTTAGTACTGTGAGGCTACAGTGCTAATCATTGAGCCACCATACCATCCCAAAGTTGCACTGATCAAATTCGTGAAATGCACAGAGAATCACAGATAAAATATTGAGTTTGGGAAATTATGAATGGTTTCTGAAATGGTTGCTCTTGCACTGCTTATACATCCGCGAGCAACTTAGTTCTAATTTCTATTCCTTCATTAAATCATGAGCATTTTAAATTACAAAACATGTGCTTTTTGGTGTTTGAAGTTGTTCATATAACTGCATGTAATCTTTTCTGTGTACAATGTTTCATTTCCACCAATTTTCAAAGAGGGCCCAGAAATCAATAAAAGGTGAAAGCCAACACTAACCAGGCCAAACTGTTATTAGTTCTACGAGTTAAGACAAAAGGAAATTAGTCCTATTTAATTGATAGAAAACTGAATGGGAAATAAATTCCACATTCCAGTCGAATATTGCAGCGATGTTCATGACAAAGAAACTGCCACCACCAGAAGGAAACAAGCTAATACTGATAAAACTGGAACCATGGAGCACAATACTGAATTAGTTCAAGCAGAAAGAAAGAGGGAAAAAGATAGAAAGAGAGCGAGAGAGAACGACAAAGAGAAAGGGCGAATGAGACATTTCGTGCGAGATTAAGGGAGAACAGGATCGTTACTGGCACAAAAATACCAACATAATCCCACGAGCATTCTGCAGGACTCGGTGTTGGATAGGAAAAGAGCAAAATAATTTTCTCATTTGAATTACTGAGTAGATCACTTTCACAGAAGAGAAATCAATTGAATGGCATATGTGTAAAAGTTGATTAACAAATGTTCCAATCGCAAATGAAAACAACACCATTAACAACAGCAACATAATGCTGGAAATGCTCATCAAAATCTGCAAGCGAGATGAATGATTGATGAGAACTGCTTCTCCAGTGACTAAAAATGCCTCAGGATAAACAGTCAGTCTTTATTCTTCCTGGAAGTAGTTGACTGCCTTTCATGATGTTTCGTCAGTGCACAAACAACTTCGCACTGTAATGACAATGTTCTGACGTTATTATGTGAACATCTAAAGGAGCAGTAACGTGATTATTATCAGATGATTGCAAAGTAGTCTTTTGGACTATCATCTCATTGCTCCGTCGCTGTTTACACATGAGTGTGCTTCGTTCCTTTTTTTCAAGAGAATTAGGTACAAATATTCACTGTCTATCCTACTTATAAAATTCAATACACGGACATATTTCGAATTGTCAGGCCTAGATCTTCTCGTCTCTGGATTGTCGGAGACTGGACGTAATGACCCATATTGTCTGGCATGACCCGATGCTCTGATTATCTGTGAATATCTGTGAAGCTTGAACATCTGAAAGGCAGTTTCCAGCTTCTTGCAACCTGCCAAAATGTCTGTACTTCTGAGTTATCGGTGAGGAAATATGCAGTATAGAAGGAAACTAATTTTTTACGGCGTTTATGCTCTGCCTCTTAAAGGTTAACAGTTTAACAAATACTCATTTGGTTCTTTCGCAATGTCACGTATTCCATTTTGAGTAAGCTGCTCATTAAAAAGCTGCTGTTCAATGAATATCCATATTCTATTCAGGCAGTAGACTTAATGTCAAAAAGCCACATTTAAAAAGTCCCTATTTTATTATATTCCTTCCTTTCTTTGATTACACTAACATTCCTGGATGAGAGAGTCCGAGTGGATAAAGGAGCAAACGATGAAAGATTTAAGATTGTGGTTTTCAAATCTTTGGCATATCAGAGCTTGAACGATGGCTTTATGATTTGAGCCGGAAAGTTCCACACAGCGAGTCACAAGAGAAAGTGCATGACTATGTTTAATTGCTGTTCACCATTCAAATTAACTGGTGACACTAGTGATTGTCGCATCAACACTCCCTTCAGCTCCTCACAGAATTTGATCTGGCAAAAATGTAGATGAAGGCATTGTTACAGGAACTGAGTAACTGCAGCATGTTTATCTTCTCCCGAAGAAAGTACTCCAGGTTACTGAAATCCAGGCCAGTGATCTAACTGTCAGTGAGATGAAAATGTAGAGAAAACATTCGACGTCAGTGACTGACAAGAAGGAAGTGGAGAAAGTTAACGAAGAGCAAGGCAGTGTACAAGAAGAATATAGATAGGTTCAGTACGTGTGGAAATATCTGGAAGCTACAGCATCATGTGTAAACGTTTGAAATTGTCAGATGTGGCACGAAGAATAAAAAAAAGAAGTACATTATCTAGATGGCTAAGGATTGTAGAGTTCTGACATGCGGAAGGGTGTCACAGCCAATGACGCATGGTAGGTGAATAACTACATGCAGGAAATAATTAGGAATGTTAATAGAACACTCTCATTTATCACTAATAGAATTCACAGAACCATTGATTCACAATTTGTTACTCTGCAGGAAGAGACCATTCAGCAGCTTAGTGTCAATTTCATGAAATTTCCGCACATAACCTGCGCATTTGCTCGATGTATAATAGTCCAGTGCCCTTCTAAATGTCTCAATTAAGCCAGCCTCCAGCTCCTTCTAGGTTGTTCACCCCAAAATCGGACGACACTTTGGGTGAAAAAGCATTTATCTGACGACACAATTTCTTCGTTTACAAAATATCTTATACCTGTGGTATTTGTCTCTCAAAACTTTTACGAGCGGGAACAGTTCTTACACTTCTGTTGTGACCAAACATTTATACAAAAGTAGGGATATATTCTTCAGTTATGCAGCTTTTGTTTGGCGGGGAGGGGTGTGGGAGCGGAGTGTGAGCACATTTGGCGTTCTATGTACAGTACTACACTTGTTATTTAAGAAGAATGTGAATGTATTGAAAACAGTTCGTCGCAATTTTACTGAATTAAGGCCTCGAATGGAAGGTAGACTTGTGAGGTCAGGATGGACAGTTGAAGCTTGTCCGCTTGAGGCAAGAAGAAGAAGAGCCCATTTGACTTACACAGATCAGACTTTCAGGGGTTTTGACCTGATATACATGGAAAGAATGCTCTCTCTTGTAGGTGAATCTTGAACTCAGAATCTCGACTGGATGATGAGGAGTCGAACACTTAAGACAGAGATAAAAACCATTTCTTTTCTCACAGAGGGTAGTGAGTGTTTGGAACTCTGTTTCTCGAAAGGCGTTATAAGCAGCGATTTGGATATTTTTAAGGCAGAGTTAAATACATTCCTGATTCTTTAAAAAAAAAACACCAGTGGCATTGAGAGTAAACGTGAATGTGAAGGAGTCTGATGAATCTTGATTGCTTTGAATGGTGGAGCAGACTTGAAGTGCTGACTCGAGCTGTTAAGCCATAACTTCATAGGAAACGACAGGAAGATTTAAAGGTGGCTGTATGCTCTGTTCCAGGGTATTGACAATTCGACTGGGCTATCTCACATTTTAACATGACTTTCATAAGTTGCTCTGATTCTGGTTGATTGAGTCTGAGGTGCCTTCCTCCCGATTGAATGTTGAACCGAAATGCCGGTTACAAGTTCAGAGGAATGTTAATGACTTCCTGGCAGTGATGGAATGTGGCAGGTAGAGGGTTGCAGTGTGTGAAATATTCCCAGTGCCCTGAAACAGCATTTCATACTCAAAGGATGGCATCAATGAATCCACATGGCCGACTTCTGAGCTCATCCTTCTGAGTGGGTGTAGAACGGAAGCTCTTATTAACAGAACAGTTTCCAATCCCGCCCCCTGTACGTCCGACTAATGTAGGAGGGGATTTCACATCTCATCAAGGACTGTGCCCTCCGCAAATTAACGCGATCAGTCAGCTGTATTTTAGTCCAGTTCTGAGACCCCGTCTCCGAGAGCAGTTTCCAGCTCCCGGTTCATATAAATCATGTGTTGCACCATGGGACTCATTCTTATCTTCACACTGTGTGCCTATTTACACCGTAAGTACGGATCAAGCGATATAACATTGTGGACATTTTGCATAAAGCTCTCCATGTCCATGAAAACAGCAGGCATTGTGTCGGGGTCCAGGTCACTTGATGCCCATTAATGTATCTCTCTTTAATTTCCAGGATCTTTCTGTCAGTCAGTGGTACAGACCCCGCCAGCGGTAACCAGGGAAGAGTGCCAGTCTGTCATCATCGACTGTGTTTTCTATGGTGGCTTCTTCGCTTATCCTTTAACGAGAGGGGATTTCTTCAAACAAACCCAGACTGGATCAGAGTGGGAGCGGGTATCGGAAGTGGGGAGGTTTACTATGAGGATAAATAAACCAGAAAAGACATTTTCGCTGGAAATTCAGGATGTGAAAGTTGAAGACACCGCCACCTATTATTGTAAAGCCGAGTACCAAGAAAACACACAATGATGGGGCTCAGCTTCCCGTGACACAAATAAACACTCTCTGCAAATTATCACAGAAACAAGTGAAAATCCCGAGTCCATCTGCCCTGAACAGCCCATAATTTCACCTCTCATTGCCAGCTCCACAGTTCTGTTTGTAACAGAACTGGAGTGTCACTGTTATCATCTTCTGTATAGTAAATGCTGAGCGGTGTGATAGTGATGTATTTTGTGGGATCGTTGTCAGTGAATCGATGTTGGAAATAACGGATCCCAATCAGGAGTCACTGATAGCAGATGGGATCCAATTCTGAAGCTGGCACCTGGAGCCGCAGTTTTATCAAAGTTTCCACATCTGACTGATACCGGGAGATTTAGTGCTGACTGGAAACACTGTGTGACTAGATGGGGTTCCACAGTGGATGACACCTGATGAAATATCATGTACAGTTAAAATACATATTCTGTGGGCCCGTAGTCAAACATGTGTTGGTAGATATCTGCACCCTTAATTAATTTTTTTTTTAATTTTCCGATTTCTGATCCAGTTCTTTTACGTTGTTCCCAATTTCTACGCAGATTTCATTTCCAGTTCGCATTCTTCTGCCGTGTCTCTAATATATTAGATTTTCCCCAAGAACGACTTGAACTGACATGTTATATCAAACTTGGAATCGAGCGTACTGATTCAAATCTCCTCAACAATGAAGCCGAGCTGAATGGTGATTTTCGTCCAGGAGTTTTGGGTGTCAGCAGTTCTTGCATTGGTGTGACTGAGAATGGTGTCACTGTGGGACAAGTATTACACTGTGGATGGGTCCGGGACGGAGTTGACTGTCACAGCCGGTAAGTGGTTCCATACCCCACCGTGTTCAATACTGCCCAGGAAACTGCGTACTCTCTTTGTATTCTTGGGATCTATATTTCTTCAACAGAATTTCATCCAAAACAAATAGTTTTCTAAGGAAAGTTTTTATTGCAATTTTAGATTTGAGAGCAGAACTAGCAGCATGAGTGAGGTCTCGGAGTGAAACCAGAGATAAGACAGCATAGGTTCAATTGACCTAATCTGGTACATCCTTGGTCTAAAGGGGATATCAGATGATAAATCCAGCATCCCAGTCTCTCACACTAATTCAATTTGAATTGTTTTAAATCGGGTCAACTTATGAAACCTCTAACCCTCACTCACACGTCTTCAGTTGCACGTTCCTGTGAACACAGGAGCGGTGTCAAGCAGTTCTCTCCTGTGAAAAGGATTTCTGTCTGATCCTATCAATGGGAACGAGGAACTGGGAAAGATTATCTTGATCTACAGTGATTAGTGTGAGATCTGGAGGGGCTCGAACCCCAGAAAATGACAAGTGGCTTCAGAGATCATGGTTTTAGTCCTCGCAGATTTTTATTATGTGACAGTCACTGACTGAATTTAGTTTTATTGTTCCAGAAATTTCTTTCAGTTGGCTTAACATAAGCAATCATTTTCTTCCTTTGCTCCTTTCAGTCGAAAAGTGTAACCACAGACACCCACCCACAGTGAATATTAATGTTTGAGATAATGGTGTTAACATTTTTTTTTCGATTGGAATCTTGAATTTTGTGACAAAGTACAAACAGCCCAATCAGAAACTAATACAATTGCGTTTTGTTTTAACTCTTCTGTTGTTAGAAAGCATTCAGACAACACAGTATGTAATGGTTTGACTAGAATCGAAATCCCTGCCCGTGTGTGATGAATTGGTTAGTTTCAGTCTGACAAGTCATAGTCTTCTCTGATTTCCGAATTTAGGGTGTACTCTTTGTGATGGTTGGTTTCAAGATCTTGCTGGATTTATCACTGTAGATGCCTCCGATATGACTTCTTTTATATGTTTTTTTCCCCAATCTTTCCAGTTCGATTTCATGCTGTCTTCAAACAAGGCTCTCATAGCTCTGAGCTCATTTGTGTAAGAGTCTGTAAACAGGTGACATATTTATGCATCGTTTGTCCGAGCGCTCCAATATTATCCTTTGTTTTGCAACTACAGAAGCGAAAAAACCTTTAACATTACTAACGGGGAGGCTATGGGCACACGCTTGGGCCCAAGCTATGCCTGCCTCTTCGCAGGACATGTGGAACAGTCCCATTTCCGCTGTTGTACTGGGACTAAGCCCCACCTCTTCCTCTGCAACATTGATGCCTGTAACAGTGCTGCTCAGTTGCTCCCATGAGGAGTTTGAACAGTTCATCACTTTACTAATACCTTTCACCCCAAACACAAATTAACCAGGACCATCTCCAATACCACCTTCTCCTTCCTGGACCTCTCCATATCCATCTCTGGTGTCCGCCTCGAAACTAACATCTATCTCAAGCCCACTGACTCTCAGTCACCTGAACTACACCTCCTGTCACCCAGCCCCCTGCAAAAATGCGATTCCCTATTCCCAAATCCTCTGCCTCCACTGCGTCTGCTCCCAAGATAGAGCATTCCACTCCTGAGCATCCCCGCTGTCGTTCTATTTCAATGACCGTAACATCCCCCCTCCGGTGATCAAAAATGCCCTCAACAGCATTTTTGAATTTCCCGCATTTCTGCCCACATACCCCTCCCGCCCAAACAAAAATAAACACAGAATCGCCCTTGTCCTCGCGTATCATCCCACCAAACTCTGCGTCTATCGTATCATTCTCCACCACTTCCACCATCTACAATCCGACCCCACAACCAAAAAGATGTTTCACTCCCCATCCCTATCTGCCTTCCGTAAAGACCACTCTCTCTGCAACTCCCTCACCTGCTCCACACTCCCAACTAACCCCACTGCACCCAGCACCTTTGCCTGCAACCGCAGTAAGTACTACACGCGCTCTTATTAACCATTTTAACTCCCACTTCAACTCCCTGGGAGATATGTCCATCCTGGGCCCCCTTCAGTGTCACAATGACACAATCCGCAATCTGGAGGAGCAACATCTCATATTGCGCCTTGGGAGCGTACAGCCCGAAGCCCTAAACGTGGAATTCACCAGTTTTAAAATATCCCCACTGCCAGCCTCATCCAACCCTCCCTCCTTGTCCTGACCCAACCTGGCCATCTTCTCTCCCACGTATCCGCTCCAACACACCCACATTCCCCGACCACACCCTTCGTCTTCCTATTTATTTCCCAGCTCCCTTCCCCCTCCCCATTTCTGAAGAAGGGCCCAGACCCGAAACGTCAACTTTCCTCCCCTCTAATACTGCCTGGCCTGCTCTATTCCTCCAGCTCCACACTTTGTTGTCTCACTTGCGAAGACCTTGTGCTTGATTTTACTTCTTCCTTTCACAGCAAGCTGATGTGGTGTTCAGGTCAGAGGGTCGAGGTAAAGGGTGGCCTTTCAGACTGCTAAAAAGTTACCTCAGAACACAATGGGACCTTGACCACATGGCTCGATGTACCAAGGAATGGCAGATGGGGATTAATCCAGATGAAAGTGAGGTGCAGTATTTTGATATGGCAAATCGGGCAGATTTATGCACTTAATGGTTAGGTTATGAGGAGTTTTGCCAAACAAAGAGAACTTGGAGTGCAGGCTCATATTTCCTTGAAATTGGAGTCGGAAGTGCAGTGAAGAAAGCATTTGATGCGCTTGCCTTTATTGGTTGGTGCATTGAGTACAAGACTTGGAAGGTCACATTGCTGCTGTACAGGGTACTGCTTAGGCCATTTTTGGAATAGTGCGTTCAGTTATGCTCTCCCTGCTATAGAAAAGATGTTGTGAAACTTTAAACGATTCAGAAAAGATTTACAAGGATTTTGCCAGTGTTGGGAAGTTTAAGGGAAAAGGAGAGGCTGAAAAGGCTGAAGCTATTTTCCATGGAGCGTCTGAGGTTGAGGGGTAACCTTACAAAAGTTTATAAAGTCATGTGGGGCATGAATATGATGAATAGTAACGGTGTTCTCCTTGGGGTAAGGGAGTCCAAAACTGGAGGACACAGGTTTAAGGTGAGGGGGGAAATATGTAAAAGGGGCATTTTTCACGCACAGAATGGTGAATTTAGTAAATGAACTGCCAGACGAGGTGGTGAAGGCTGGTACAATTACAATATTTAAAAGGTATCTGGAAAGCTATATGAACAAGTAGGCTTTAGAGGGATATGGGCAAAATGCTGGCAAATAGGGCTCAATTAATTTAGGATATCTGGTCCGCACGGACTAGCTGTAACGAAGGATTGCTTCCATGGTGTACATCTCTATGACTCTATGACGTCGAAAATCAACTGTCTGGTGTTGGGCCATAGTTACATATAGGATTACACTGGTTTGGTTTACATTAATCATAACTTTGAAAAAATATATTGGCCCAATTAAAAAGGATCCAGCTCTTAAGGGATCGATAAGTAATCCACACGCTTTGCTAGATGTTTCAATATGAAGGGGGGCAACGTATTTTGAAAAAGAGTGGGGCATAATGTCAAGACAGATGAGCCATCCTGATACTCTTCAATTTTATAGCCCTATTTAAGGGTGGTATGGCCTCTCCTGTTCAATATTTATATACTTCTGCACCATCAGCTTTGATTTTCTTTTAATACCACTGAATAAAGATTTGAGCAGAATTGGGCATCGTATGGAAAATTTGAACAGCCTGGGCCTCCTGTCGATTGTCAGGCAGTACGAAGAGTTTCCAAAGAAATCCTTGACCTTCAGCCAAAGGCTGAATGAAATCCATGTGACGACATTGTTTCCTCCGTATGTCAATCTGGAACGAAGCACTGTACAATACATGACGGCGCCAACACAACAGATGATTCGGAGGGGAACATTTCTGTAGAAGGGTCTGGAACCGAAACGATAGCTTTCCTGCTCCTCTGATGCTGCTTGGCCTGCTGTGTTCATCCAGCTCTACACCTTGTTATATACAGATGATTCTGCGGAACAACAAAACAGCTCGGCCAGCCAACCAACCTCAAGATTCGGAGGAATGCATTTATACAGAGACAGATCAGAATGTGGAGCTGCCTGACATGTGGAGTGTTTGGACAAAATGGCTCAATGTGATGATTGCATAGCTTCAAAATAGAGAAGGGAAAGCGGAAGGGAATGGAAAGAAGCAAGAATGAGGTAAAAACGTGTTAGTTACAATTCAGGAGGGAGGAGGCATTTGCAGAATACAAGAACTGGCGCAGGCAATTGTCCCGAATGGACTGCAATTGATCTGCAGATTCCAAATGATGCAATTCTCAGAGAACACTTTGCCAGAAAACACGGACAACAGTTCATCGATCTGCTGAGGGACGTGGAATTGTAAGACAACCTCAGAGCTTAGTTCTCAGTGCCATTAAAATCATATATAAATGGCACTGGGTGGGCCCAAACGCTAATTGCAAGACTTTGGGACCAATTCACAAGATTGGAAATAGCAAACAAATGTCACGAAGTAAGAAATATAGATTTTGAAACGAAATTACTTGAACAGAACTCAGAAATGTGAAATCGATCGAGATTGGTTCCCTAATTTACTAAAAGACAAATAGTTTCAACGGTAGACTGGAGAGACAGTGTGGTTATACAAATGTCACAGAAAGTTGACACCCGTGCACAAAATAATGAAAGTCTCGAAGGTTTTAGAGTAAATTTGTAGCTCGGGTTGCGGATGTTGTGGTTGGTTGGCTCGCCAAGTTCGTTCGTTGTTCCGCAGACGTTTCATTACCCTGCTGGGTAACATTATCAGTGTAGCCTCCGATGAAGTGCTGTTGTGTTTTGCCGCCTGTTATTTGAACTCTGGTGTCCATCGGGCTGGATTACCTCACTTCCGGTTTTCCTTCGCAATGGAGCGATATGGGGTCGAGCTCTATGTGTTTATTGATGGCTTTCTTAGTGGAGTACCAGGCTTCCAGGAATTCCCGTGCTTGTCTCTGCCTGGCTTGTCCCAGGATCCTGGTATTGTCCCAATCGAATTGGTTCTTCTCCTTATCCATGTGGTTAGAGATGAGTGAGTATTGGTCATGTCTTTTTGTTGCCGATTGTTGTTCGTGGACCCTTGTGGTTAATTTCCTTCCTGTTTGTCCAATGCAGTGTTTGTCATATACAAGATTCCCTGCAGTGACTGTGAAAAATACTGCATTGTACAAACAGGAAGGAAATTAGCCACAAGGGTACACGAACATCGATTGGCAACAAAAAGACACGACCAATACTCATTCATCTCTATCCACATTGATAAGGAGAACAATCAATTCGATTGGGACAACACCAGGATCCTGGGACAAGCAAAGCAGAGACAAGCACGGGAATTCCTGGAAGCCTGGTACTCCACTAAGTAAGCCATCAATAAACACATCGATCTCGACCCCATATATACTCCACTGCGAAGGAAAACCGAAATGAGGTAATCCAGCCCGACGGACACCAGAGTTCAAATAACAAACGGCAAAACACAACAGCGCTTCATCGGATGCTGCACTGATGATGTTACCCAGCAGGGTAATGAAACGTCTGCGGAACAATGAATCAGCTGGGCGAGCCAACCAACCACATTAATGAAAGTGTCACGAGAGTTTACAAAATAAATCATACAGCTTCGCAAGCTTTATTGAGAACAAAAGTAAAGAAATTGCGTTAAACCTGTCGAATATGCTTTGACCCCAACGAGAATATTGTCAGGTTCTGGACAACGTGAAGGCACGAAAGAGCATGCAGAATCATCTACAAGAATGATTTCACGGTTTAGAAGGTCGGGGACAGAGATGGATTGAAGAAGTTGGGACTATTTTCCTTTGAGAATTGAAGTTTGATAAAAAAAAGAATGACTCAGAACAAAGAACAATACAGCACAGGAACAGGCCCTTAGGCCTCGAGGCCTGCGCCGACACAGTTTGCCCTTCCATGCTAAAATTGTCTCCACACGCAGGATCCGTACCCCTTTATTCCCTTCCTATTCATGTGTTCGTTCGGGTGCTTCTTGAATTTTGCTATTCTTCCTGCTTCCACAACCTCCTCTGGCAGAGCAATCCAGGCACTCCACAAGCTTTGTATGAAAAAACGTGCCTCGCATATCTCTTTTAAAGTCACCATCCACCCACACCCCTCTGCACTTTGAACCGATGTCCCATTGTAATTGACACATTCACGCTGAGAAAATGCTGCGTACATTCTACTTTATCCATGCCATTCACAATCTTATAAACTTCTGTCAGTTCGCCCCTCAACCTCCTGTGTTACAACAAAATAAACCCGATCTATCCAACCTTTCTTCGTAGCTAAAAACCCCCATACTCGACAACATCCTGGTAAACCTCTTCTGTGCCGTCTCCAAAGCGTTCACATCCTTTCTATTTGATGAAGGTATTCAATATCATGGGGAGTCGGGGTAGAGCAGATAAAGTGAAGCTGTTCCCATTGGTGGAAAGCTTGGGAACTAAGACGTACATATCAGCAGAATTGATGAAAAAGAATCAATGACGACTTCAGAAAAAGAAAAAGAATTTCATGGTGAATAGTTATGATCTGGAATGTGTTTCCAGTTTAATATGGTTTAGTATAGAAAGGCAAACTTGATCAAGGTTTTCAAGAGGAAATTGGATATTTGTCTAAGAATGAAGAATGTGTAAGGCTGCTGGTAGAGAGTGGGAAGTGGTACTCGCTGAATTCCTCATTAAGATAGGCAGCATGTACACGCCAGGCCGAATAACCTTCATCTGTATTGTTACTGTTCTTTGATTCTATTCTCTGATACTGTGACTTACAGATACCTACCATCTATCCAGGTCAATCACTGCTGATGAGTTTTATGATGTTCTATTGGATCTTACTGAGTTCAGTGATGTACCACAGCGGAAGGTTTTGTTGGTCATGCAATTCTGGAAGCTGATAATCTTAGTGAGGAGGTGAATGAACGATTAAAATATTTCCCCAGATACACATTTCACTAGAAATACACAATATTTTAATAAAATCATGGGAGCAAACAGCACAGCTGGTTATCCTCCTGTCCCTAGTGCAGGTGCAGATAGTTCAAAAAAGCAACAAATGTTTTCCCATTCTGTTACTTTTACCCATTCTCCCGGTGTAATTCCTGTTGTAGTAACAAAGTCAGTTTTGATTCTGAACTCTGCTAAAGCATTCTGGCGTTTCAGCCAGATCACAACAGCTCACAGTGTCAACAACAAAAAATTGCAACCTCTCGACGTTATTTTGTTAATTATGACAAAGGCATCCCAACAAAGAGTCAAATTAAGAAATAAAATATTTTAAATACAGAACTGTTTATACAATTACCAAGATTCTGGCGTAGTCAATTCATACATTTTTTTTTTTGTTTGTTTTTATTCCACAGATTCTCCGACCTTGGTATCCCGCGGTCCAGCAGTACAAACCTCTGTTACCGGTAACACCGTTACTTTAAGCTGTGAATATTCAGGATTCTGTCATTACACAGTTTACTGGTACCGTCAGTCCCCAGGAGAGGCTCTGAAATACCTGCTTCAGAGATACACTTCAGGAGAGCAGAACAAAGAAAATGCAGGAGGAGGAAGAATTTCTGCTGATATTGACTACACAGCAAAAATCAGTCGTTTAAAGATCTCCACAATACAACTGAGTGACTCTGCTGTGTATTATTGTGCACTGAGTCGGCGCTCAGCAAACACAGTGCTCCGGAGCACGGAGAGAGCTGTACAAAAACCTGAACAGAATGGAAATCACAGACAAAATGATACAGAGCATGGGCAAAGTTGTACAGAAGTATGAACATACTGGTGATTACAACACAATAATACAGAGCATGGAGAGAGCTGTACAAAAACCTGAACAGAATGGAAATTACAGACAAGATGATACAGAGCACGGAGAGAGTGGTACAAAATCATGAACATACTGGCGATTAAGACGTCGTAATAAAGAGCGCTGAAAGAGCCGTACAAAGACCGGAACGGACTGGGGTTACAGACATGGTGATACAAAGAGCGGAGAGGGCGGTACAAAAAATCTCTGTGCAGTGGTTTGTAGATGCGGGATGTGGGAAATTTGGGAGCCAGATCTCCACGATACAAATGATGCTAATTGTTTGGTAATCCATTGTATATAACGAAAATATGTTTTCTTTTAATAAATATTTTGGGGATTTCGTAAATATTAACTTCAGATATTACTTACTGGATTTTTGAACACTGATATTGGAAAATTAGTCCACGACCGAGATGATATGTTCTCTTTTTACACAGGGAGCGGATAGATAAAGCAGATTCAATGAACGCTTAGAAAATTTAACCACATAAACATACGGGCTGTTCAAATTTGTGGGGCCCTGGGAAAGCAGCAAGAGTCGTGAGACAAACTGTATTACAGCCTCAGAGATAAGGGATGTTGACAATGTGACAACTGCATGGGTATTTGATTTTAAATTCGTATTTCCATATTTCTTGTGTAAGAATAAGCCCAAGTCTAATTGCAGTTGGATAAATACTATCCAAGAAGCTTTTATGCAAAGGTATCTCAGCAATATTTCTTACTGCTCACACGAAGATCCAATAAAAAACAACAGATTCGGTTGAGTGAACTTCAGTCGTCAAAAATTAATCATTTCCATTTCTCACTTTAACTCATCATGGAAGTTATATTGTTCCATCAAGGGAGTTGATTTTTCCTCTTCACCTTAATTTGAATTTACAAGGTGATTTTATTTTATCTTATTTTATTTCTACACCTACTTTGGTTTGTTTGAGGTTTAATGCCATCGTGAGAACTTGATCTATAACTCAGAAGTGTCAGTTAGTTTCAGTTTGTGCATATTCTGCTGTGGTTTTACTGTTATTCACTGGGAAGTGCATCTGCTGTGTCCCTGACAACTTAAATACCCTACAACCAATTGCCTGATTCGGCCCCGTGTTCCCCGAGCCGCTAAGTTGTACATTATGAGCAATGCACATGCAAGGATTAATTGGCCATAAGCTGGAGAATGCCAGGCATTTTTTTCTGAAGAAGGGTCTAGGCCCAAAGCTTCAGCTTTCCTGCTCCTCTGATGCTGCTTGGCCTGCTGTGTTCATCCAGCTCTACATCTGGTATTCTCTGTACTCTACACTAACCGTTCACCTCTCTAACAATAATAAACCCTTTCCACCACAGCACATTTCCCTTCTATTCCTTTCTCCATCCGGCAATATTCCTGCTCCTGATAACTGCGTCACGCCCACCAGCTCCATGCACTCTACTTATCAATGAGCTCTTTATTCTAACGGGGTTCTTTTAAAAAACAAACTTAATTTCTTTCTCTATCTATTCTATTATTGAACTCATGCATTGATAGTTTTTTTTTCTGCCCGAATCGACAAAATAATGATTTTCCACATCCGCCCCTTTGAACTCAGTCATAATTTCACATATTTCTATGAGGTCAGCTCCTCATTCCCTATGTTCCAGAGGAACGTGGACCAGTCTGCATTCACTCTTCAGATCAGTCTGTATTGTTGCTGATCTTTTTTTTTCAAGCAGAGAGGAAAGACATAGTTTGGAAGATGTGAACAACAGAAACAGAAACCTGCATGACATTCCACCTAAAAGCCTGCTCCCAGTCAACTCTGAAGAACAGACATATTACATTATTTTTTGTTCATGGATGTGGGAATCATTTGCTATGCCTGCAGTTCTTGTCAATCACTAATTGCTGTGGACTGGGTGGTGGGTGAACAACCTACTTCAGCCACTGCAGGCCTCAGGAGTAAGAATACCCACAATTCCGGTGAAAAGAGAGTTCCAGAATTTCGGCTCACGGTCAGTTTCGGAATTGTTTAATGCTTTTCGGCGCGTCTAAGTTTTAATGATTAATTTGTAATAATTAGTTGCTACTAATGCCCAGGAAATATTCAAAATCTCGTGCTCTTGTTACAGGAACGAATTCCCAAGATAAAATTTATCAGTATCTTCGTGGATTAATTGTTCAAGAAACAAAGATTCAAAGAATAAAGTTGTAAAGTGGCGTAGATAGAGTAGACTGAAAAGATGTATTCCTTTGCTTGAGACGTCATTGAATCAGGTGCATAGGTTATAAGTTATCGATACAACATTTAGAGAAAAGAAGAGATTTTTTTTTAAGCTGGACCCTGTGTATGGTCTGGAACTCGCTGGCTAAAATGACAGCAGAGACATAAACCTTTAACCCGCTTAGCAAAGAGACCTAAACCGTATATCTTGAAACTTCATGTTTATTGCAAAAGGAAATGGAATTAAGGCAATACTGGGAAATTTAATGAGGTTTGATGGCTATTTTCTCAGTCAGCGATGGTCAGAGTGGTTTCTTTTTTGCGATGAAATTGCCGATAATTTATTATTGTTCTAAATATCGAAAAATTCCAACATTCTCTGATACAGGGGTTTCACATTATGCAGATTGCTCCTGAGTGGATCTGGAATGGATAAATTGCCTTCTTTTGTGCTGCACTTGCCATTCAGATCTTGTTGATATGGCATTAGCTTCTACTTAGTTTTCGTGCTTCTACAAGATTTATGACTTTTGTGATAATATCTAAATGTTTCATCCGGCATCAACCGTCATTGCATTAACACGTGATTAATTATTTAAAAGATCTACTTGTTCAGAAGTTGCTACACACGTCAGGAATATGGAGGACTTGAACCAGGCTGTCCGGGCTCAGAGGTGGGAACACTGCCAATCTACGAAGAATTCTTGGCTTCTTGTCAAGTACAACAGATATCTATTCAAGCAATTACTATACTAGATACTCTCTGTAACAAGTGACTATCTCAATTACTTCTTCAGTCACTCATCTTTTTGTTTATATTATTTTATACACATTCGTGTTTCTTACTGCATAATTATAGTAACCAGTAAACCAGACACTGTCTGCTGGTGTTGCACGAAACAATGTCATTGTTAAAATTTAAAATGACTTTGCATCGATTTATGTTCCACTCAATCCTACCTTTGTTTACATTACTCCAGTTCCTGTCTCTGTTTATATTGCAATAGACTGTGCTGGTGTTAGTACTCAGTTTGATCATGTGTGTTTGTATATTACATTGGAATCAATCTCAGCTGTTTCCAAACTGTATGATGTACCATTTTGCATTACCTTGAGAATGTCTGTTTTCCTGATGGACTACTCTAATCATGTCTTCTGATTTTTTTTTTATGACTACCTAAGGGTAAAGCACTGGGCTCCATTACATCTCTAATCGCATAAGCCTGTGTTTTTGATTTGAATAGGCACTTTGTGAATTTCCACAGTTCACCATATTTGTGTTCTTATTGCACTGTGCACTTTGTGAGTTTTTGCTGCAAGAGGTCATTTTCAGTTAATACCATTACAGAGCTTGCAAACTTCGAAGTTACATTAATTTGTCTCCATTACTCGTACATTTGATGCTACCGATCGAAGCCATGTATCATATATGACGTCACGTAATGAAAACACTCTTTGCATTGCGTCAGGCATTTGTAAGCTATAATTCCATCTAATACCATTAAGCAGACTCAACTGTTTTGTGACCCTTCCTGCATGTATTGTTTAAAAGAAAAAAAAATCCACAGTTCCACTTTGTACAGAAATTGCTTTCGACGTTCTTCATTTCGGATACCCTCCTACGTGGTGAATCATGATTTCAAATAGATATGATATTAATCTATTGAAATACTTACGTGACGTTAATGCTGAAATACTAAAATAATTCCCAATAAACTAAAGTTACAAAGCTGTATAAACGAAAGGGATTCTAACCAATGACCAATATATGTGTGTGTATTGCATAATAATGAACTTACAACAATTTAGAACATGGAAGAGATGGGAATAGACTGATTTAGGTTCGTGATAAGATCTCACCTAAGCATCTAGAATAAGCAGTTACACTTGATAGTGACTAAAAGACATTGTTTATAGTGAGAGGGAGACAGACAGTAGTTCGGCTACAAGTGGAATAACATCATCCTCCTTACAATATTGAAAATGAAAGGCATAGAACCTGATTACTCCTGTTGGTTCTATAGAATGCAAGTAAACTCCAGTTTGAAACTTCATTGTCCGTCTCACAAGGAATAAATGAGGGACAACATGAATATGTGGCAGAACCGAGCTGCACAACTTTGGGAAATAGTTTCATTTCTGAAAGGCAATGCATGGACAAGCTATTGATCCCTTTATGTCGTTTGCTATCCGATACTCATAGTTAGTGTCATTGCTGGGAAGGAATAGATCTCAAATAAGTTATTCAAAGCGGTATAAAACTCTGAAAATGATTTATCTCTCCATTCAGGATCATTTTTCTGATATCTATCGCTGTATAAACGTAAGGCACTCTGACCAATTACCAATATATGCATGTGCCTTGCATAAAAGTGAACTTTGTTATGATGAGCTGTAGTCCATCACTTGAGCTTGTAATTCAATTTATTATGACATATTTATGAACATATTGTTTATTATAAGGCTGAAATATGGATCTTCGTATGTGGCCTAGTGATGTCAATGTTATTATTTGGACATTAGTTTCTACTCTAATGTGGCAAACTGCCGTCTTTTATTATTGTTATTATGGGAAATAATAGAATATCATAATGTAGCAGCTTGCAGTTTGTACTGTGGTCTTATCACAGTACAGGAAATGAATTATGAGAGCTCAATCACTACATTAGCTGCAATTTAAGATTAAAATGTTTCTGTTGATTACAAAAATCAAAAGTGCGAACTTTGGAATGAAGTATTACTTATCGTCTCATGAGATCCAGCTGAGTTTCC